GTCTTCTTCTTCGTCGTGGTCTTCTCTGCAGGTGTGCGGCGGCTTCTCCAACCTTCAGGTCCGCTATGGCGGACTACTGCTCCTGCTGCCACCTCAACTATGGCGCATCTCCTCCCTGCGACACACGGCGACACGGCGCGCGTGGAATAGTGGATACCAGCTCCGATACCAATGCAATCAGACTCGCTTTCATTCACACTTTACATGCATGCAAACATTAGCGCAACAAACTGGCGACAAGCACCCACTCAAAACTCAGAGATATGGCAACCCAGATAAGAGTTCACTTCCAATGACTATGGCGACTCAGCGCCCAAACAACTCTCTGTTCGCATACACTGGATCACCCTGGATATCCCACACGCATCCCTCTGAACACTCACACACACACACACACACACACTACACACTAACTCTATCTATGGCGGCTATGGCCGCAACTACCCTATCAATATGCTACGCTCCTTCTCTCTCGTCCACTTCCGCTCCGGGCTCACTGCAGACCTCCTTGCACAAGTCGCTGTGGCAGCGCTTCCGCATGGCTCACGCAGGAATGAATGAATGGCTGGGCGCTGCCTCTTGATTTATACTTCTGAAGCCCGTTGGTCTGCCCCTTTCCATCGGCCCATGGTGCTCACAGTCCCTCGTGGTACTTGCTGGACTGGACTGGGGCTGACTGGACCTTACCGTTGACTGAATGGGGACTCACTGCTATCCTACCGCTATTGTACTGCAAAAGTACTGCAGTTGGTCCACCACTTGCCCACTTACTCGACCTTCTAGAAGGATTTCTGGAACTCACTAAGACTTCTATTGTACAGACCTACAGATCGAACCCCTGCTACCTACGGACCCTACGACAGTCTACTAACTGTTACAAATACACAGGTCGTGGGTTCAAGCCTTGGGGTCGACACAGATACTGTACACTGGTAGGGCAAGGGCTAGGGATCGAGCCCTGGGGTCTGCATCTGCTACTGCAAAAGGTGAAAACCGTTTCAATATATATATATATATATATCACTACCAACATGACAAAGTTTTTCGGCCGCGGGCTGTGTCGGTTCACCTGTGATGAACTTCGGCCGTGCGATCAACGATTTTGAGACGTCGGATACGAATCTGACGCGTTTGACGCGCCGTGATACAATCTCGACCGATGATGCATGGATCGTGAGGCGTCCGATACAAAGTCTGTGGCGTCTGACACGCCTCAGCCGGGCGCCGTTTCGTTTCTTTTTCTTTTCTTTTTTCTTTTTTTTGT